CTGTGGTTGGATTCAGATCATAACTTCCATGTTCTTCCTTCCCTTTAACTTTGTTCTGGCTGTTTACACTTCTGTTTTGATTACTACATTGCAATTTGAAGGAAATCTTTGTCATTAGTCAAACTTTTAGACCAAATGCACCTTTTCTAAAATGTTAAATTCTTCATAAAAACAAATTGAAAGAATTAATTTTGAAGCAAATCATAAAGTCACAAAATAAAATTTAACACTGCAGCAGTTACCCAGACAGGAAGCTGTTCCTTTCTTAAGAGAGCCAGTAACTGAGAAGGCTTCTCCAGCGAATACTTTCTTTGCAACCATGAAATTTAGAGCGATCTCAGGCTCTCTGCTGGTGTGTTTTTTACTAATCAAATGCAGAAGTTGATAAATGTTCAACTCTTTGCTTTGCTTTGAGTGTACTTAATGCTAATTAAAAAGAATCATGACAAATGGAGGATTAGTTCTTGTGCCAGATTGGGGATTATTAGTTTTAAAAGAAATAGCTTGGAAAGGTTCACTGTTTAATAAATATGTGACATACTAAAGCACCTTACTCCATATGATACTGATTATGGTATAAGTGTTCCTTTAAGATGACATATATCTTTCCATTAAGAATGCGGGATTTACAGAATCAGCCAATAACCATTCCAGTGTTTTGTTTTAAATGCTGGAAAATTGATAGGGGGAATTCCATGTCATAGGTTCTGCATGGTCAAACAGTGCATGTCTTGTGGCAACATACTTTTATTTTTTTCTCTTTCCTTCACGATTTAAGGTGGAGGGAAAAGGGAGAATGGGTTCCTTTATGTATTAGAATTGTTATTAAAAAAACCTTATTCTTATGATACAGAGAATTCAAATGAAACCCTTGGGGGAGCCTTATTTTTCTATCTTGGTGACATAATTGTTACGCCTACTTTACTGTGCTTCATAGATTTCATAATAATCACAAAACTTGCAGTTAAAAGTAGGTCACTTAGTAATTTTTACTGGACTTGAAATTAATGAGTTTGAACACATTTCAATGTTCTGCAATTTTTTGGTATCTTGCAATATATCTACTAAAAATTAGTTCACATTTGGAAATGTGAGGTTTTTACTAAAATAAGGGCTGAAACACAGTAAAATATGACCTGCTTTTTTATACTAGCTAGTGATGAAAAAGGTGCTAAATTGGATGTAGAAAATAAAAATACTACTAAGTAAATCTTCTGTAGTACTAGTGGCATGTACCTTTTCTTGTAAGAGTAATTAATTTTGTCTAGTAAGATGGTGTTGCACAGCAAAAAGAAATTGCTTGACTTGATGCAGATAAATAAAAACTGGTGCTAAGTGGCTAATTTTTCATTACATACCCTGTTGATTAAGCACCCTAGGAGTGTGATGAGTTATTCCCAGTTCACCAAGGAAATGGACTCACCCAGAGATCTAGATAAGGGATCACAGGTGATAAAAATCATGATAAGGAGTAAAAGCTGGCAACACTCACACTTGTCAATGTCCTGATTTTGATGCAGACCCATCTATTTTTATATATGTATTTTTTTATACATATATAGGTATGTATGGGTTTTTTTTCTTGAAGCATTGACTGCTACAGGCATACTGAATTTCAGTCTTCATTTAGCAAGTAAGTGATAGCCCTTGTGGTCTAAAAAAAGCTAGAATGAAAGTGTAGTATATAAATACAGATAAAACCAATGCTGTTTTGTTTTCATTTGTTTATTTTTTAGTTTGTCTTAGGATTTTTAGGCATCATAGATCTGAATACTTAATATCACAGCTGTTGAATGCCTAAGTTCCTATCTCATGGTGATATGTACAGAATAATTTTGTTTTTAATTTTATTTATGTGATTGGAAAACAACGCACAGATCCTCATTGAATTCTTTTGAGCAGTTTTTAATATGTTAAGCAAAATGCTGACTTTCAAAATTTTGTTGCCATTATAAAATATTTTGTCCATTCAGTTACTAGATTTTCCTTTAAAAAATATCAGCACTGTGTTAAATGTTGTGCCTTTTTTTGAACTAGAAGTTCTCTATATTCCAAGATTTTTGAAGGTATATTTGAAAGGGAAGAGAGCGTGAATTTCAAGCACAGAGGCTGTTTTATCTTTAGTGGTGCGGAAGATGAATGAAAAAGGAAGTTTAAAATACTATTATTCTCAAATACGAAACAAAATTGTAGTTTTGCAGAAACATTGTGGGATTTGGAGTAGGAAGATACAGTTTAGAAAAGAGGAAACTCCACCAGGTGCATATATACACATCTGTGTTTTACTCCAAATGCTGCTATCGAAACCTGTTTATTTTACCTAGTCCTTTGGTCCTTGTTATTTGATTGCATTAGACAAAGTGCTTCTTACAGGCACACGTCAGTTTATATTTGTGACTAGAAATAGCTGTAATTTTCAGAAGTTACCATCTTGTGCTTGTACGGGTGTGTGTGGTTTGGGAGTGCTGTGGTTCGGGAGCGCAGCCCCCGCTGGAAGCAGAGAGGGGCGACTCGCCTAGACGGCTCCTGTCATCGCAAATTAAGTTGTCAGCTGCACTGATTGATTTCAGATATTAAACAGTACATTTCAGTTGTTAAGCAGTTTGTCTCTTGATTGCTTTTTTTTGTATTTATTTTGTAGATAACTGTTGGGTTTTGTTCGCTTGCCTGCTTGTTTTTTAATCCAAGTGGTGGATTTTAAGGCAGGTTTCCGTAAGCCGTCACCTGCAGGAGGGTTTGTGCGTTCGCAGGCCGCGCTCCGCGGTGGCCAGGCCCACGGCCCTTTGCCTCCCTCGGTGGCCCTGCTCCGGGCCCGTGGCGGCGCTGGGCAGGCTGCTCCGGGAGGGACCCTTCACCGAGGTCAGTGCCGTTCCTGTGGGGCCTCACGTGCGAGGGCACATGGAGGGCTCGTTGGGTTGTGCGCGGCCTCGCTGGGGCCCGGAGCGTCGCGGCCGGAGCGAGCGGGCCGCCCGCTTTGTGTAAGGCCTGGAGATCCCCTCAGAAAGCGGGAGGGGGTGTTTTGTGTTTCAGAAGTAGTGACTGTGGGGCAAACATGTGACATGGCTCCTTTTTATAGTTGAAAATTTTAAAAACTTAATTACATTAGTCGTCCTTATTTTAAAAACTCAAGAAAATAAGGACTGTGTGTTGTTATTGTAATGATTTATGGTCAGTGGTTGTGATTTCCAGAGTCCGCTGAAGATTTAGCCCAATGTCTCAAAATTAGCAAGGTGAATGTGATTTCACAGGTTGCAGTTTGACAAAGAAATGAGCAACATGACTCCCAGTCAACCTACTATGCTGTCTATATCCCAATTTATCTTCTGGTAATGCCAGTGAATTTTCCCTATCTGTGCATTGCGGACAAGCAAAGGAGCAAAGCTTTTTTATTATTATTTTATTTTATTTCACTTGCATCATTTTCAGTGCATGTGCATTGCCTGTGTATTTGTGGGAAGTTAAATGCATTCCTAGCTATGGTGATGCCACTTGTTTGTTTTGCCAGCTTGAAATAATTTGCTTAAATGATACAGGCTGGCTGTTCTTCTTCCAGAAGAGATTGAATTGGTCAAATGATGATGAAAGGATAACAGATTAAGGGAGAGAGTAATCACAGTTAAAATACTGTTAAAGATACAAAAAATTCTTTCACATTGTATGTGATTGAAATCTCAAGAAGCTCGGTCACAAAGAAACAAATTTCACAGCTAACCTGAATTAAATATTAAAACTTCCAAGCTTTCACTGAAGAACTTTGTGTTCTCTTGCACTCAAAGCTTCTGCAAGATACCAACCAAGCTGTCTAACATGTTCTTTAAGATATGAAGTGGAGTTATGAGGGGGAATAAACAGTGGGATTGTGTTACAGAAAGAAAACGCACTAACTTTCCATATTCCGCCATGGAGAAACAGGATGTATGTGTTTGTACATGTACAGATCTACTGTGCAAAACAGGGCGTTTGTCGCGTGTTTTGACTACAGCAGTTGTGGTGGCCCAGGAGCTGCCACGCAGGGGAGTGGGACAAGAGTGGTGTTTCTCTGAGCCTGTTGCACGGGAGTTTGTTTTTCCTCTTGGTTTGTCAGATTCAAGATCTTTCAGGCTGGCCGAGGTATTTTGCTATTTGCTCCAAACTCTGCCAGACTTGCTGGGAAAAGGTCCATTTTTTTGAATTGCAACATAAATCTACCTTGATTCAAAATTTCTCAAGGTCAGAAAACTGCTTTTAGAGAACTATAACCTACATACTTCAAAAATTGGAGTCACGTCATAATTCAGAATAATCAACTATTAAAATGCTGTGTATCTTTTTTCCTGGTGGTCTGCAGCAAATTTTATAGAGTTCCAAATGTTATTGCTGTATAATACTTAAATTTTCACTTTTCATGTTGTTTATTCTGAAATACATTTTCCACCCACATACTGAGATACTGGTTGGTTTTGCTATGGAAGAGGCTATTTTATATTGCCTTTGCATTAAAAGGTCTACTTTGCGCTCTAAGAATGCTCAGAACTTGTTTATGAAGTTGGTGCATATTTAATATTGAAAAATGCCATTCAGCACTTTGACAGAAATCTTTGAAAAGGGCAGAAAGTCGTTTTTATACAGTGGCAGCCCACATGCATCCGTGCGATCCTCTCAAACCCGGCCACTATAATCATGGTTCTGGTGAATGAGAAGGTGGGGGGCTTTGGCCTGGCTCGAAGATTAGCTTCTCCTGCTGTTTTGTAATTACCAGAATCTGGACAGTCATTTGTCTCACTGAAATAGCGCATACAGTTTGTGCCTCCAAAGAAAAGCACACATAATGTGATTGCAAGAAGAGGTTTTCAGTCTCTCAGTGGGATGTCACGGGGTATGTTTATAAACTCCAGCCTAGCAGTTGCTCTGCAGTGGAATTCCACTGGTATTGAGATAATAATTTGCACAGTCAAATTGCTTTCTATACAAAAACCCAGGGAATTATGAGGCTCTAATCCTTTATTAATGTCAACCCACAGGCAGCAAGAAAGCGTAAGATTGCCATTCGAAAAGCCCAGGGGAAAAATCTTGAGGCCATCCGAGAGCTGAATGAGTATCTGGAACAGTGAGTGTCTTACAAGAATGCTGATTGTGTTTTGCTATTCTGATAAATCTTTTTAATTAAAAAGGAATTTGCATTTGATTTAAGCCTTTGCTTCCATGCTGGTCATTTACAGAATCCCTCTGCACATTCTTTTTCTTTTTCCTCCCTTGCTTTCTGTATACAGATTTGTCGGAGACCAAGAAGCTTGGCATGAACTTGCAGAACTTTACATCAATGAACATGAGTAAGTTGTTTGCTAAGTCCACATAAATCTGCTAAATTGAAGTCTATTCCATGGAAGTCAAAGACATCAGAGATTGTTTTGACAGACCAGTGTTAGAAAGTGGACAGCCTCATTTCCAATAGAGCAAGCATCATCAGGAAATAATTAACAACCTTATCTGACTACTGAATGATTTCTCAAGGCATTTATTTTAAAGCAAAATCAACTTACCGAATTACCTATGTTTCTTAAGGAAAAAAAAGTATATATGTGATATATATATAAAAAAAAAAGGTGTTATATGTGTAGTGGAAAACAGAATACATTTGCCATAGTTTCTCATTCAAGTGATGTTTTAGTAGTAGTAATTTTAAATTCACAACCTCTGAAAACAATTAATTACAGTAACTGTATGTAAGATTCTGTTTTTCTGTTAGTTTACCTCTGAAGGAACTTGTAAGTTACACTTTTAAACCTGAAGGGAAAAAAAGAAAAAAGAAAGAAAAACCACACAAAACCCCCACTCACCCCCAGAACGCATGGATCCAGAGCTGGAGGCATTTGGTCGCCTAGGTACAAAAGCCAGTGCCATCAGGAATGCTGAAGGTTGTAGTCACTTGCTTATTGGATATTTAATGTTTTTGTTAGCTTTTTTATTGCTGTAGTGACAGGAGGAAATCCCAGTGTGAGAGGATTAGCTCAAAGCCTTAGTGCAAGTTTTCTAATATCACAGCATTAATTCCAACCTCTGCCCAAAGGCATCTGCCCCCCTCCCCTTCAGTTCTTCAGCCTGGCCTGAATTATATCACATTGTTTGCTTCCTTCCTTTCTAGAGAGTAGTAAAAGAAACAAATTCTGAAGGAAAAAACAGCCATTCTTGTTGTCACGAAAAAATTGTTCCCCCCTCACTTCTCCTACTCCATTCTCACCAAAAATAATTACTCAGCTCTTTCAAATGCTGATTTAAAGCATAATCTAGGATTTCAGTATCCATAGTTGCATTTGCTTTGGGAAATTTACCAGCAACTTTTCCAAGAAAATAGTTATTTAAAAAAAAAAAAGAACTGAACTCCAATGTATAAAATACATTTAACCTTGTCAGAACTGTCGATACAAAAATGAATGATAGAGTGGGGCAGACATATTTATTTTTACTCTTTCCTTTCTCTTTGGCTATGATCTTCATTACAAAATACCGTAGTGGAATTTGAGAAATAAATTGCTTTTGCTTTTACTTACGTTGGTCTGCAATTCCAATAAAAATAGTGTGCAGAGTTTTCTCCAGGTCACTGAAAAAAAAAATTGACTGTGCTTAGTGTACAGTTCTGAATATTATTATTATTTGAAGTTTAACTAGGAAAAAAAATGTAATGTGGGTCAAAAAGCAACTAAAAGTTCCTTTTTCATTAAAGGAAATAATTAGCCAGTTTACCTATTCTATCAATATACCAAATTTAGCCTTGTTTGTGAAATTGCCATGCTGGTACCATTGCTTATGGAAAAGCCTGGATTTGCAGGGTTTGTGTAGTCCCCAGGTCCACGTTCTGTCCCGTTACGAGGACTGTGGCTTCTTTTCACCTACCACTTTTGGTGAATGAGCTGGTGACTCTTTTCTCTCCGTTTCTAGGCTGTCGTAACATTCAGAGAGGAAAACCACGATACGTTTATTTTAAAGATAATGCAAATTTTATGGTTTAATATTGTCTCATCTTTGCTAATTTGTCTTTAATATTAAATATTTGCCAATACTTGGGTTACAGACATTGCCTCTGTTTTTTGAAATCCTACTATGCAAACCCTTCTGAGCATCTACCTTTAGTAGATGCAACTTCTGTAGAAAGTCATATTATCTGAAAGATTATGAAGTTACCATTTTGGTAATCAGTGCAAATAAAATGGCATTGTGATCTAATAATTCATGCTGAAAGCTTTATTTTAAACAAATGCTAGCCTTTTCTTTGGTAATTAGGTGTTGTTGCCCGTTTTGACTGGTTTAATGCTATCTTCATACACACATTTGGACTTTTTGATTTTGAGCTGTTCTCATTGTATTTTTAAGCATGAACTTGGAAGCCTGAATTAAAGTAACTTCGAGTAGTTAAAATTTGCCTGTCCTGTTTCCTCTAATCATTTATTTATAAAAAATGGGTAATTTTTTAAGTTTTCCTTGAGCTGTTCAATATATGGACCATTATATTTGGTAAACATTTCACATGGTAGAATATAAAAATAGTAATTTGTAGTTTCAAGTATCATTTAAAAATATAACATTTCTTTTGATCATAAGTCACATGAAGTTATGAAAGAAAATTAAGTCTCCTTTTCCTGTGTTGTAGTGAAACTGAAGCAGAGAGCTATACACTTTTTCATTTTTATGTCACTTTTTATATTCCTTAGCTATGCAAAAGCAGCCTTCTGCTTAGAGGAACTTATGATGACTAATCCGCACAACCACTTATATTGTCAGCAATATGCTGAAGTAAGTATTTTGAGAAAAATCTATTGTGTTTGAATACACATTCTGTTTTTATATTACTTAAGTGATGAAAGTGGAGTAAAATAGTTCTTGTTAATTTTTCCCTGGGAGATTTAAGAGAGTACACAGAGAACATTAGTTTAAAACATCTCGTAGAACTTAACATGTTAAGACAATCGTGTTTTGTTATTTAATACAATAATGTGACTAAACTATAAATAAGAACAAGGGCAAAATTATTGAATTTCATTTTTTAACTGAACTATTCTTGTTGAAGGGTTTATGCACTTTTCAAATTAAGTGTATGAGAAGAGGTAAAACTTTTTCATAATAGTGATGTCTAGGAAATTACATACTCCCTGCAACTGCAGAGGCAGACCTTGAAACATTTTGTGTAGGAATTTTTGTCTTGGAGAGGACCCTTAAAAGATTTTAAAGGTTTTTAACAGTTTATAATAATTTTTCTTATGTATATATTTTCTCTCTAACTTACATTGTTAACTGCTGGAAAAAGATTTAATTTATTTTGTTAACAGGGATAACATTGGATTAACATTAAAACTCGAAAGCCTGAATAGCTTTGTGGTTGAAAATCTGTGAAAATCTTCTACTATTTATCCCCTTTGTTTTTTTTGATTTAATAATAGACAAAATTAACATTTAAGTAATGGAATCTTTAGATTTTGTGTATTGTTCAGCATTTGAATACGTCAGAAAATATTGAGGAAACATAGAGTTAGTGTGTATTTGTAGCAGTCAGAATTTAGCTTTAGATTTTAAGCTGGTTGTTTTCATAGGGGACCATCCCAAAATTGTAAGTAATTCATTAATAGACTCAAAATAATCACTCTTTTATTATAGCAGCTGTTATTTAAATTAGTGTTGGCCTTTTTCCTATAGTTAAATATTTTTTAAAGAAATTCTTTATTGAAAGGAGCTCAGACTGCTCCGAGTCCAGTGTTTTGCCTTTGACCGGACTCACCCAGTTTGAAATGTGAAATACAAATCTGAAGAGACATTTCATAATATCTTTGATTCAAGAGTGAATGCCTGATGATATGTGCAGGTTTCAGGAGTCTATCATTTTTACAGGTCAAATATACTCAAGGGGGGATTGAAAACCTTGAGCTATCAAGAAAGTATTTTGCACAAGCACTGAAGCTGAACAACAGAAATATGAGAGCTTTGTTTGGACTTTACATGGTGAGCTTGATTCTTTTTGTTATCATTTTGCATGTGTTATGCATGTATTATTATCCTTTACCATTTGATGAATTTTTTTGCTTTAACACTTCAGTTTATTAATGGTCTTATTAAATACTAGATATGAATAATTTTATACCAATGATTAATATTTGTTAAAAGAAGTCAAATCTGAATTCTGCGTTCCAATATGTATGTCCTGGTTCCCCCATTCCAGATAGGGTGATGATTAACCCTAATCTCAAAACATTTTACTAAAATGTTCACTGTAGCATTCAGCTGGTGTTAGTTGTGCTTCCTGTGGAAGCAAGGCCTTAGGTGCTTGTCCATACCTAAATCCAAACAATATATTTTTTGGCTTGATGTTCCCCACTGGGATGGTCATGTATTTTGACTATTGCTAGGGTCAAAAATGTGCAGGGTTTGTTCATGTCTCAGTTTTCGCCAACTCTCCAAATAGTTTGAGCTTTCTCAGTTTTGCTTGCAAACAATGTTGCTCTGTTCTCTCAGGTTTATTTGATTGATGATCTCATTTTCAAATATTGTAATAGTCATCTTCATTATTTCTTAGAATTTCCCTTTATTTCAAGTCCTTTAGAGGAGCTCAGTGCTTCCAGAGGTTTCACAAGCCTCATGCTTATAAATGACTTAACCTAATGAATCTCAACCATTTTCAATGTCTGTCAATCCCCTTATTTAGGGCTTTCAGTTAAGCTCCACTTTAATTTCTGTATTCCATCATCAGATGGTCAGTTGTGTCATATATATATATATATACACACACACACACACACATAAACGATCCATTTTCTTAGCAGTAACCTCCTGTGCATGTTTTTCAATTGGTATGTCTGTAGGACTGCTGCTGGAGTGCTAGGTTAAAGTAGAACTACCTTTCTCTTCTACTTGTGGAGACCTCATATACTTTGATACTTGTCATGCACACAACTTGAGAAAGCAGATCTATGCTGCTGCAGTCTTTCTTATTACTCAGTGCTCGTCAGCTATAAATCTTGCTCAAGTTTTCCAAAGAATTGTAATCACTGCAACATTAAGATGCCTCTTGCAAAAGGATTTAAAGTCACACTCCTCTCTATAGAGTGGTGGACTATGGAAGGTAGTGCCTGTGTTTTTGTTTTTTGTCAACTTCCTTGTTTTTTTTTTCATTCCAATTTTAAGTGGATCGGGGTTTATCCTGTCCAGCAGCGTTCTCTGTAGTGTGGCAGGCACCACAGCATGTACTGCCCTGAGTGCAGCATCTGCAGGAAGGATGTCCTGACACCAGTGCTTCAGGGTCTGCACAGATATTTAGGCCTCCTTGGAAGGCCTTTCTTGAGGTCTTAAATCTTTTAAATTATCTTTTTAATAACAATTTTTTTTTCCTTTTGGGAGGTGTTTGCAGGGAGAGAGCAGGAAGGAAGCTCTAAGGATTCTTAAAAACCCCAGGCAATAGGAATTCCTGTCAAGGATCACTTTTTCTTAGACATCACATTTAACACGTGAGACTTGGACCTAATCTTCCTAGCCAATCTTCGATTGGTAAATAGATGCTCAAGGAAGACAAGGAGAGATCTCCTTTAGAGATTTAGCTTTTAAGAAATAAGTCCTTGGAGAAAGTGTTAATGCTGTGTAAATCAATCTGTTCATTAGCTTCAGTTGATTTTTAGGGGCATATACACGTAGAGAGCTCAACTGATTCTAGAACAGCTGTAAGGATTTATGATGGCCAATCTTAGCTCTTGTCCTCTGCCAGATATTATTACCTCTAACCAGTTATTTGCAGTCTGCAAAGTAGATGGTGAGTCTGTTACTGATGAGAAATGTGGTGCCTGAGTGTCGTATGCAGCACTCTGGATGTGTGTAACGGGTAAACTACTGCAGAGAAAGTGGACTTGGCCCAAATTCCTTCCCTTTCTCTCAGGTGGTCGCTGTCAGATTGCATTGGGTGGTTTCTGCAAGTGCAGCTTTATTTACTTCCCTGTTTGTGCATCTGCCCTTTGGCTCCCAATGTCTTTGGAACCCTGTTTCCAGATTTCAAGATCTGTTCTTACCGTAGCTGCTACTTTTGCACAGACATGCCAAGTACCTGTAGTCCCTGCAGAAAGTCCATATCCCTGATAAATGCTCCACAGAGGTTTGCAGCTCTGTCTGCTGAGGGAACTTATGTATAAATGGCTGGGACTCCACAAGTAAAGATGTCCATCTGTTTACTTCATGCTTATATATTTATATATTTTACAGTTCAGCTATTTTTTCTTTTGTGTTCCCAGTCTGCCAGCCATATCGCCTCCAACCCAAAAGCAAGTGCAAAAATGAAGAAGGATAATATGAAATACGCCAGCTGGGCAGCCAACCAAATAAACAGAGCCTACCAGGTTAGTACGGAATTGTGTTTCCTACTACCATATACTTTACATCCTCTCTTCTGTGTTTTTATCAGATGCTATTTGAAAAGTTAGATATGACAGTTCATGTAAATCAACATTATTTGCTTGGATTACCTTGTGTTTTGCTTCTGTTCATTTTCTTGGAAGTCTTAATACAAGTAAAGTTGATATTTTACATTTATTAATTTTTATTGTGTACTCATTAACTAAAGGTTTCTTTTTCTGTTTTGCTGTTTAAATGACTCCCTCCCTTTTGGTAATAAACCATTTAGGTGTTCGGGATGGGAACACCTACGCTGGGAATATGAAGTCAGCAGTAACTGTAGATTGATGTCATCCCAAGATATAATATCTAGAAATTCATATATACATTTTTTTAAATAAGATGAATGTTTAATGAAAGTTTGGTTATGGCAGTTCATACTTACTTGATGCACAGTCAGATAAGGTGGGGTTTTTTGTTTGTTTGATTTAATGTAGCTATTTGTTAGCAGCTCTCTGAGGAAAAGGAAAACCTCTGAGAAAATAAGGCTTTCATTTGCTTTTAACCCTATTGTTTCTGTGAAGTTATTTAGGCACTGAGGTTAAGCATTTTTGGCTGATACTTACCAGAAAAGGTCACTTTAACGCAGGTACTGTATGTTTAAAGCAAATGTCGTAACGTCTCTGTGACTTCATGCTTTGTGATGCCTCGCGTACCCTCAGCTGGCTCCTTAGCTGTATCATCCCGTGACAAGCATCTTAACTGATCAGAAGCACAGAATCCCAGAGTGGTTGAGGTTGGAAGGGACCTCTGGAAATTCTCATCTGACCCCCCTGCCCCAGCAGGGACACCCAGAGCACGTGGCACAGGGCGGCATCCAAGCGGGTTTGGAAGATCTCCAGAGAAAGAGACTCCACAACCTCTCTGGGCAGCCTGTTCCAGTGCTCTGTCACCCTCACTGTTATGAAGTTCTCCCTTACGTGGGGAATTCAGCTATGCAGAAGGTGTAACTGCCAGGCTACGTTTTGGTGAGCAACCAAACACCCTTTCTTTCCCCTCAGCAAAGGAGCGCAGGAAGCTCCAGTGAGCCCAGCAGGACGGGAGGGCGCCAGCCCCGCCGGGCTTGTTGCTCAGACAGGACGCAGGAGGGTTTGGCCCCCCAGCGTTCACGTGAGACACTTAACAACATCCAACTGCTGCAGCAAGGGGTGTCTGGTGATGCAGGAGGTGGCAGGTTCCCCTCCGAGTCGCTGTTGTCTCGTTGCCCCTGCAGCGTGTTGAGCAGTTGGAGTTGGTCCTCTTTTGGACATGCGGATCTGTTGGGTCAGTGGGAGCCCTCCCTCGCGGCCTTCATCCATTAGAGCAGGATCGTCTAGCCAGGTTTTAAGCTGGGTACCTGCATTATCTCTATAAATCCTCCCCACTTCCCCTGCATTATCCAAAGCTCTTTGTAAAGTGAAACAAGAGCCCTAAGAGCTTGTTGAATTTGGCATTGACTGACTTTATTAGTTGGACCTTCTGATAGTCTTAAATGCAATATGATCTGTAATGATGTCCCAGAGAGTAAGATGTATTGGCAATCCTGACTTGGGTGCCCAGTCAAATTATAGGGATTTCTGGCTTTTAAATGTGATGTTATTAATTGTGAAAAATTGCTCTTTAGCAATTGCTTTGCAATGAGATCTTTCCCCATTCTCAATCTGGATTTTGAGCTTGGATTACCACCAGTTTGCTCAGTAATTTTGGAAAATATCCTTTATTTTTTTTAAGTTCAGGGCTGGCTGTAGTTGCGTTTTTATTTTTCATGCAGTTTACTTGAGATATTTTTACTGGTCTGCTTCTTTCTGTTTATTCCCTCATTCAAGTGGTGTGCTTTGGCGTTGGATTTTTACTTTTCCTGTGCATTCCTGTTTGAAATCTAAGGAACTTTGTGTTTATTGTCATTAAATTTTTAAAAAAATCCTTTGAGCATTAAAAGAAAAACCTACCTTTTTTTCTTAAATGCTTGTTAGATAGTGGAGCAGTTTCTTTAAAGGAAGAATAAGTTGAATTAAATACTTTTTGCAAGAGCACAGATACTTGTTTCATCTGGTTAATATTCTTATTTTGCTGTTGAATATGGAACTGCTGGTACTACTTCTCTTCAGTGCTTTAATCAAGGAGAAATGTAAACTTAAAAAGAAGGTGAGAAAGGTTTTGTGTCAGAGCTTGAATTCCCAGCTCCTACCACAGGCTCTCGAAAAAGGTCATTATTCTGTTATATCTCTAGGCCACTTAAATCTAATTGATTGGGTAAAAAAAAAAAAAAAGAAAAAGAAAACCTTATTTGAAAAACGTTATAGAAGTACTGGTTATTGAAGGACTGTTACAAGCGTAAGCCTAGTTTTGCATTAATTTGTCACTGGAAAACTGCCTCTTCTATCAGAGCAGGTTCTGGGAGGGAAGGTGGAGCTGCCCCAGCCTAGACGTGAGTCACACGGTTGCTTTAACACGGAAGCCAAACGGGGCTACCTGGGGCTCTTCGTTTAGCTAATTGGTTTAGCATGGCCCCTGCTCCGAGCGTTTCAGCGCAGGCAGGAGAGTTTGATTAATGCTCGGCAAAATCTTTAATGCGATCCTGGTCATGGTAATTTTCCAGATCCGTGCTCCTTGGGTACGCCGCTAAATTCTCCCGCGCTGGCAGCCCACATGTTAATGATGGTTGGAGAGGTGATTTGGTTACAAACCGTTTGGGAAAAAGCAAATTAAATCATGATTTTAAGAAATGGATTCCGGCTCAATCAGTCAAATTGCAGCGTAATGGCAGAATAGACAAAATAATTGTTCGTCAAGGCAAATTTGAAGTGATTAGATTTCCAGGTTGACTTCTGTTTGTTATGACGCAGGGTTGGGTTTTATTTGTTCAGCGCAGAGCGCCCGTCAGTAGCGCTCAGGCCGCCGCGCTTGAGGCGAACAAGCCCCGCTCCTCAGCTAATGCCCCGTGTCAGCTTCGCTTGCAGGGCCCCAATGGACAAGTAAAAATAAGTAAAAAATCTTTTATTTTGAACCTTTCCTCTGCTTCTGGGTGTCTTACATGCAGCTTTCTGACCGTGGTATATTTAGGCTTCGGTGATTTTTAATGAAAGTCTCAGAAATGCTAGTTGGAAACAATGATATCAATCAAGGATTTGGGGCTTGGAGGGGGGGTGGTCTGTCTGTCTGGTTTTGTTAAAAGATTTGCGCCTCCCCAATCCTCTGCTTAGTATAAAGAAAAAGGGAACACTCTATTAAATCCAAACCCTAGCAAAAGTTCATCTTTCAGCTGGGACTGTATTCGAAAATTTTCTGGATTTTCTGATTTTCTTTGAAAGTTGATTATTGCAGGTCATTCTGAAAACTGCACAACCCAAAAAAATAGGTTTATCCTTACTACTACAGTCAAACCACGGGGCAGTTAATATTCTGGAAATATGAAATAAGAAAATATGGTGTATTCAGTATGTTCTTTAAGCATATTAAGTCCGGTTCTCTTAACAACATATTATTTTCCTGGGTGCTTAATCTGAAACAGCGTTTGTTTGGTGTACCAAACCTGGGTCCATAAGGACGAGGCACTGACTGGGAATCGCAATGTTGGATTTTAGCAGAGGGTCACGAGCAGGTTAGCAGGTTTTGCAGCTTGTTGGCAGTGTGATATTACGTGTGTCTGTTCACTCAGTCTTTCTTAAGAGGTCACAAAGAGTTTCTCAAGTTAATTACAAGAGAAAAGGGGCACATTATAAATCAAGGACTAAGTGTGCAAGACAGCAGCAGTATTTGAAATAAAAAACATTAAATTGGAAATTTATTGAGTGTTTAGATGTTAATGCATAGAGAATAAGCAGTTTTACTAATGGCAAATTATAGTTACTGCTTCTGTAACTTCTTTACCAGCCTCCTGAGCCCTAAGTGCAAAACTGCGTTAATACACGTGTATTAAAACTGGGATTTTCACATGACTAAAGCACCAGCCTAGTCCATAAATCCGTGCTAAGTAAGGCTGATGAGTGATGGGAATTGTCAGTACAGTTAAGAAAACTCCTTTGGAGATCAGCGAGGGGTAGTCAACAACTCCTGCACATCTTCCTCCTCTCCCAACCTTGGCTCCATGCACTATAGTGAATATAAAGTCATACTGTCAAAAAGTAGTACTTATCAGGCTCTGTCTTCCCTTGTTATCAACATAGGTTTTTATCTCAAAAACTTGGAAATTGCAGTGTAATAGATTACAATCGAATTAAAGGTCATTACTTTGAGTTACTTTGAACCATGAAATGTAATTATATGATGACTGAATTGCGTTATAGACATTTTGATAAGTAGCTCATTCTTCGCTGTCTTGCTATAATAAAAATAGACTTGATTAGCTTTATATCAGGTCTATTTAAATTATGAATATAGTTTAAATCATAAGAAAAAATCAAGTCTGAAATAAAATCTGTGTTATAAGTCACAGCAGAAAAAGCAGCGCTAAGATTTTCTCTTTATTTAGATAGGGGTTAATTTCCAAGTAATATATTTTTTTAGTCTTAAAATCTCAAATTCAGAGCAAATGAATGAAATTAAGGAATTCTATTAACATTTTCATGACTTATTAGAGGAAGGCGGGTATATTTTGCATTCTAGTAAAAATGATAAATCTTAATGAAACATTAAAGAGACTGCTTTTGAGTTTGTATTAGAGCTGATGCTTTTTAGAGTCTTTCTGCTGGAGAATTTCTGATATATGACAAATAACTTTTTTTTTTTTTTTTTTAAGTTCGCAGGCCGCAGTAAGAAAGAGACTAAATACTCCCTGAAGGCAGTGGAAGACATGTTGGAGACCCTGCAAATCACTCAGTCTTAGACTGGCACAAAGAGATACGATGTTAAATTTTCTAATTTTGTGATCAACCTAAGGACCTGTGGGTTAAGTTACTGTAGTGCTGTTAAAAAGTAATTTTGTATTGATTAATATGGCTATCTAAAAAAATGTTTTTATGAAAAGTAAAATACCTATTTATTGCTGCTATAAGAAGTGAATACACACTGAAATGAATAACTTATCCCAGGAAGACAGCTTAAAGGAATTAAATATGTTGCACAGTCTCTAGATTTTGTATGTACAGCACCTGCTTTTAAGCCATAATTTGTAGAAATAAACCTGTTAAATGATTTAAAAAAAGTTACACTCATTTATTGGGTCTGCCAGTCAAAGTTAGAAATTTCTGTGTTGATGAATACTGTATGATGGAGTACATTCTTACTTGTATATTTAAGAGTTGAAGGGTGCTACAGGGATACTTTTTGGCCAATGTTTACCATCCAACAAGATGTGATTGCTGTGCACGAATATACTGTCTTAGAGAAAACGTTTCAATACGGTGGTGTTCCCTGGTGTGACAGAGATGGAGAAAACCTGTTTGTAGGCTTTGCTCTAGTGGGGCTTTTGTATTGTCTTAAGGCCAAAGACATTCCTTTCTGTGGCTTTTGTGGGCAAATCCTAGCATGTCCACTTGGTTCTCCAATCGGTGTATATATATGTATGTATATACACTTTTTATTCTTTCTGTCTGTCCTTTGCTGTGCATATAAAGCTTCACATGAAGAGCTTGAAGACCTTCTGAAAACAGGGCTGCATGTTCGGTGCTGCTAGTTTTGTAGCTAACGTGCTCTACCTCCTCACTGCTGGAAGCTATGGTACATTATGTTGGTTTCTGCACAGTAACTGTTATTGCAGAAGAAGTTTGAAGCAGTTCATTCTGCAGCCTTGTACTCACTGAAGGATAAAAGTGTGCATGCATGAATTGTAAACCCATACCAGATTTGCCCTTTAGGAACTTGTTTATTTAATTGGATATTTAATCAAACACCCTAATTCATGGATTTTGCAGTACTCGCTGCTTTGTTTGTTGTCTGTAACTATACTGAAAATTCAGTTGTGCAGGTTTAATTTTTTGTGGCAGCTCTGGTCAGGGTACATGACAGCAGCAAAACATGCTTGGCAAATTCTAATAAAAATATTGCTGTGCCATTTGATGATTGTTACTGCCATCCAGAATAACTGATTCTACATGTAGTAGGAGGTATAAAATTTGAAAGGTGCAGGTTAAAGGTTATGCATTAAGATGTCCTTTTTATGACCCCAGACCTGATCTAGTAAAACAAAGCTGCACTCTTGCTAAAACAAAACCAGCAACAAAAACTTCCCTTATGGGCTTAAATGTGAACATGTGTATAATGGTGAAGCAGGGCCTACTGCAAACAGAAGTTCTCATTCCCATTTTCTGTAAAATAGGCTGTCCCAGGCAGTGAGTGTGGTACTGTGGAGACCACGGGTGCTATGCCATGAGAATGAATTGTATGAAGAATCTTAAATTTATTCAATGTTGCTGAAGTACAAAACTGTTAACAAAGTTTGTAAAATAAAGTGTTATCTTGAATCACCCAATTTGAACCTGGGGAAATATTGCAGATCCTTTATTATAATAACTAATTAATAGACTGGCCTCAAAACACTATTTAAAGATAGATTATATATATCTCAGGTGGAAAAATAATCTTGCAAGTGAACATATGTATTTCTATTCAGTTTTCAGTCTTTTATTGTATGAGTGTGCCATCTAGAGTTTTAAATCTTCATTAGTCTTGTTTTTATTTTACCTACATCTCAAATATTCTGAAAGCAAAATAATGGAAAACTCCACTGTAGACTAAAATTACTCAGATTAGAGAGTAACGCACCTCCACTCTGGAATGTTTCCTTTACCTTTAGGAAGCATATCTCTGCTGGGGGTTTTACTGGAACATGTAGCCTAGTTAACAATGCTATAGCAAGCACAGAAAGGCCAAACTAGGTTGGCATCTGAGTCTGTATTGTGCTAGAAAATGCACGTTGTGAAGTTTCACCTTGTTAAGTTAAATTTATGATAGTGAAGCCGAGAGACAAAAGTATCAGGTTGATTTATAGAAAGCTATTCACTTTTTTTCACTAACTTTTAATAAGACAAGGAATTTAGGTGTCAGATATACAGTGTACCTGCGTCTCTGTAAATCTGTTCTGTTCATTGCAGTGATTCAATGGCTCACTGAGCACCTAGAACCACCTTTTGGTACTTTTTGGTACTGCTTAACTTTTTTAAAAAAATCTATTATTTAGCACTACAGAGCTTAAAAATTAAAACTAGCAAATATTTCTGATAAATTCTTGTTTACTTAAAAGGCAAAATGAATTACTCCTCGGAAAGTGCATGGGCAGTTTTTGAATGCACTACTGAACTCCCCAGTGGTAACTTAGTGTTTTTTTCCTATATTCAAATGAAAAAAACTTTAAGTCCTGCCTCTGCAGGGAAATACTTTTAAAATAGCCTGCAATCTCAGCAAGGGAAGGGTACAGAAAAGAAGCTATGACGTGAATTTTCTTTTTTTTTTTTAATTTTAGTAAATGATTTGTAATATATTACTGGTGTCTTGGACTAAAGAATAGGCTTCAAAGACGATTATTTGGTTAACAAATAAACTTGATGATATTCTGTATTGTGCTTCGATATTGACAAATGCTACATAAAAATATTGTTTTCAAGCATGCAGTGTCCTCTGCATAAAAGCCTACGGTTTCATATTGCTTCAACTGGCAGCAATGATCTGACACTTTGCAATGCCAAACAGTTAAGCAATGACTTACGCCTATTTTGCGCAGCTGTGCTTTGATAACAGACTTGATAAGGGAGGGTTTGATATCATCTGTTGAATTGAAGGTAATTGACAAGGCAGCAAAATCTCCAATTCTACCTTTATAAAACAAGTGACTGATGACTTTTTCCCAAAAGTTATACAATTCATATTTTTTAGTTGCAAAAAGCACATCTTGTTTAGAATATATCCCTAAATCTCTTCAGTTCGGTGCCCAGAATATCTTGCAGTTGCTATTGGAAACTCTGTTGTTAGTCAACGGAGGGCTTCCTCTTGGCCGTGCTCTATTTGTGATGGCATCTGCCTTTGCTGGTCACTGCACTTACAGTGGAACTTGTACATCAGCCAGCTTTGGAAGGGAGGGGAAAAGGAAAGCAAATTAAACTTGACTTACTGGCATGAATTTGTTAGCTTCTTGTTACTTGCAGCCTCATCTTCCAAGAACACCAACTAGCTATAGTCAGGTTTGCAATAATAACTATTCTTCTTGTAACTCAAGGGCTCCTATATATTCAGCTGTAAAACTATTAAGATCTAAACATAGAGATTCCAGTTAAACAGTGCTATGCAATGTGTCCTTCCCTTGATGTTCAAGGAAGGGGCAGCTCTGCTACCCTCCCTGACTCAGGTTGGGATCAGAGTGGAGGATGAGATACTGGTTTACTTACTTCTGTGTAGAAAACTGATTTTGCTTAAAACAGGTGGAAACACTGCTTTTTACTTGCGTTATTCAGTGCTGAAAGAGAATTTTAGCACAACCTATTGTTTTACTACAGATATTTGAATCTACACGGAGAGCGAAGTACTCGGAATTAGTCACTAGTCTTATCCGAAAGGGCTCTGCACCCTGAGAGATCTCTATCCTCTTGGGAGGCACCAGCTGGAGGTTGGATTTAACCCAGAGACTAGTTTGCAGAAAGAAATGGCCATTAATCTATCTGCCTCTGTGAAAAAAAGATGTTAGAGAAGGTTGTTTTTCAGATGCTGCATATGAAATGGGAAACCTTTATCAGTGCAGTTCCTAGGTAAGTTTATTCTGTCCTGTTAGGAGAAAATCCTCTCCTGTAACAAGCAGTTCAAACCTTCTCCTGCCCCTCAAATATGAAGCAGCAAGGCCTGTGTAATCCATACGTAGAAGGCCTTTCTAGGACAAGTTCTGAAAAAAACGGCATTGATCCCATAGGCTCCCACAGGTGAGCACTGCTGGCATGCACAGAGTTACTTCCACCGTAAAAGAGCTGAGCAAGACCCACCTGGCACTGCCCAGAGCCTGCAGCAGGTGTTGGGAGGGTCCATCATGGACATGGGCCTACCTGGAAGGTCTGTCCCTGTCCCCGGCCTCTCCTTCCTGGGTTCCTTGGGTTCCCTGTCTCTGGGAGCTCTGCTCTGTGTGGTGCTGCGGCGGCTGTAGGTGACCTCTCATCCCCTGGGATTTCCTTTGGGCGTGTTTATGTTTGTGTAATGGGCTTTTATTAAAACATGTTATAGCACAAATATACAAGGGGCATGGAGCAAAAAAAGCGAGGGAAAATGTTTCCAGATGGGAGGCCTGTTAGCCAAGCTCACAGGGACAGCCACGGGAGAGCTGCATTTTCAGCCCGCGTTGGCCAGCGCTGGTCCAGACACTTGCTTCCTTGCAGAAGATGACCAAGGATGCTGTGTTTTGGCATTGAGTAAATAATGAGAGACATAAGGCTGTATAAAAACAAAAAAGCAAAAAACAAGACAGAAACTGCAGTGCAAATTATTCTTTTTCCTCATCTCCCTGTATTTTAACAGTTGTCCATGCGCCCTTGCTGACGTTAGGGTCTGTCATGCCATTTGGCCAACATGTAGGCATCCGCCTCAGGGCTAGCGGTGGCGAAGGGCATTACTGGAACAAGGGCTCCCTGGCATTGAGGCACTCACATGTGTCCGTCATGGCAAGACCTGATCTCTGTGCGTGGGCAGCAAAGCTCGGCTTGCCCTGGAGACCCCACTTTGAGAAAGACTCATTTTAGGACTGAGACTAATTCTCCCCCCAAAATGATAATTTACACAGGTTTTTATAGCAAGCTTTTAGTTTTTGGACATTGTGTTTGAAAACGAAACCTTAAAACTAGGCAGATACAGTCCTCTGGGGAAAAGACTGCAAAAAGCAACACTGGGGTGTTTCAAGAAGGAGGGAGCAGGAGGGAAAATCAACCATTGCTTCTGTTTATGTAGGTAATTGAGCTTGACGCAGCAGTGCGCCTGACAAGTTGGTTTGTGTTTTTTAGTCCGTTAAACACAGATCCAACACTCCAAGCTGTCACTAGCAGTCTGAGAATGTTTCAGTTTAGACTTTGGAAATTGTGTAGATGCAGATAGCTCACGGCGCAGGCAGCGGCCTTGCAAACCAACCCAGCAGAGAAGTATCTCATACCTCCTTTCCCTGGGCAGCTGGTGCAGTTTGTTCCCTTTAACTTAGAATCAAGAACGAACACCATGAAAAAATAGGCATATT